AAAAAAAAAATTTTTTTTTTGCTTTTTGCCAATTGTATATTATTTTAAATTCTTAAGTCTCTGTTTAAAATTTCTTAAATTCAAAGAAGGTAAAATTCACAAGGTGTCAAATTAAGCTCACCATTTTGAAGGTCTCTTAATATCCATAAAGGGGCTAAATGGGGCATTTCCGAATGTTATTAGAAAGTGAGTTTGGCTGGCTTAGTGTCCTTATTTAAAGGCTCTGCCACTGCTGAGAGCAAAGACATCATCTCCCTCAGCTCCTGGGCCTCAAACCCACAGGAGACTGCTATTTTACAGTCTCCTTGGGAGGAGTTGCCATTCATGGGCAATCTCCCGTTCTCTCCTTCTCCAGAGAGCTTTGAAGGACCGATCTACTCGCCGCTCTTTCATTCTAGACAGCAGTCGTTGTTTCTGCTCATTCATGGGAGATGTCTTCAGTCAGCCATGATTCACAGTGGAAGCTCAAAAAAAGCCAATACAAATGTAGTGCATAAATAAAATAAATGATCCCTAATCATGATGGTGGCTTCAATAACTCAGTGGTGAAGAAAATGCGCTTTTACACATGCTCATTTGTTCACTTCCCCAGGACAAGATTTATAAAAGTGCTGCTCTTTTGAATCAAGGTAATTGGTACTACAGTCTTCCTCAAGCTGCTGCTTTCTAGATGAGGGGCATATTAACTTCCATATTCATTAATCCACAAGACCATGAATAGCTGAGGGCACCAGGTTGGAAAGATTGCCCTAACAGATGGATTGGAATTTGCTTCTTCTAAAAATATATTCCCCTTTTTTTCATTAGTCCTAATGGATAAATAGATATCATAAAAATATTGCTTTTAACCCCTTTCACCATACTTACCAGCTGTTATTCATCTTACCTGAGCAGCAAGATGTTTTCTGAGAGGGTTCCCACCAGGAGATCAGGATAGGAATTTCTATCCACATCCTCTCCACCACTGAAGGAGTAACCAAAGGTCTTGATGACAGGATCAAAATCTTCCCCGCTAATGATCTGCAAGAGGTACAGAAAATGAGAGGCAAGGAAGACATTTACAAAAGAGATCAAGATCTCTGTTTGGAGAGTCACAGATTTCCAATCCATGATAGCAGTGCAGCAGAGCAGTTGGTGGCCAAGCACATATGAACAAGAAGGACTGCCACTATCATCATTAGATTATATTGATCTGACTGGAGAAGAGTTCTTGGACTTTCAGTGCTGACACTCATTTATACAGTTAATCACAAGACTCTTGGCAGCTCACAAAGATAATAAGATGCAACATACATAATTTCTTGTAAATTGGAGACAAAGAAATCTCTATTGGGAGGCCATTCCAGAGGGCTGGACCCATCACTGAAAAACAATGCTTTTGGGCTTCAGCCTTCTGATCACCCAAAAATGAGAGACAACCAGCTGCTTCTCCCAGGAGGATGAAAGTGGGGAGTCTTGCAGGTAACTTGGCACCAATCTTCATCTGATTGATTAGAGAAAATTGGGCTTTATCAAGGATGACCAGTTTGTAGTTTGTGGATTCCTGAAACCCTTTTTCGTCCATTAAATGATTCTGAAATTGCATAGTTGAAAGTGGTGGTACTGCCAACAGAATGCCCCCCCCCTTTGTTCCTTGATTTTTGGAAAGAAATTACAGAATATTGGTATGCTAAGCCTTGGATAAGTTTAACATGATAGAAAATTGGAGGCCTTCCCAAAAATTAAAAAAAAAGGAGGCCACAACTCCCAGCCACACCTCATCCAGTGACATCACTATCCCATCCACTGTGGTCTTTGACTGCCAGAAATATAGCTCCATTTAGCTTACTTTTATCTCTGGAATGCAGACTATTGGGGTTCAACCAAGGTTAATGGTATCTTGACAGGAAGCGGATTCCCTGTCACTAACTGAACAATATAGGGAGGAAATGCTACACATAATCTTAGAAATATGCTTCACCAAATGAGGTTAGGATGATAAAGATGCCTTTACCTGACGCGGCTTACCAGCAAGGCCACCTACACCACTCAGGTAGATGTATACTTTCCCTGAACCTTCAAAGGGTGCTCCAATGGCAATATCTGCATGGGAAGAGTACAAAGGAGAAGGTGAACTTCTGTTCTTCTAAGATCTCACAGTTCTCATTACACCTCATCTAGATAGGTTTCCTTTAGATTCCCACTGGAATTTTATCAAACTGTTACTCTAAAATAACTTTTCAAAACAAAGATTTCTATTGTTCCCTATCACTAGTCAAAATCTAGCACAGGGGCAAGGAATCTGTGGCCCTCCAGACGTTGCTGAGCCAAGCCTCCTAACAGCCACAATCAGCATGGCCATTTGTGAGGGAGCTGTAGTTCAGCAACATTCAGAAGCCCCAAGTTCCCCATTCTGCCATAATATAATATGTCTCTCTCCATTCATCACCACTTAAAGAGTTACCATCCATTGTAATGCAACTTTCATCAACTTTTGGTTTAGTTCTTACAATAGTCGAGTCATTACTCAAAGGAAAGCTTGAAGGAATTCTGCTGGGAAAGTGATTGCAGGAAGGCAGTATAATAAGCACAGACTCAGTCATTTGATTAAGACAAAATGAACTAGCATGTGTGCATGGCTGAACTGTAACTAGGAAGGTAATTTATTTCTCTCCCTGATATCAGTAGTATGGTACAAGTGGTCCCTGTTTAATGACCACTCATTCAGCAACCATTTGAACTTAGAATGGTGCTGAATGAGTGGTACTTATGACCAGTCCTTGAAGTTCCAGCCATCGCGGCACCCACACAGTCATGTGATCACGATCCAGGCATTCAGCAACCAGCCTGGATTTCTGACCATTGCAGGGTCCCAGTGTCACATGATTGCGATTTGCAACCTTCCCTGCCAGCTTCCCACAAGCAAAGTCAATGGGGAAGCTGGCAGGAAGTCGGGAGTCATGATCACATGAGGTCCTCATTTAACAACCCATGGTGATTCATTTAACAATGGTAACCAGGGACTGCTGGAACTGCTGTCACTAAGCAGCACAGTCATGTGATATCACATTTTACATTGCTTAGCAATGGAAATTCCAGTCCCAATTACCATTGTTAAAGTGAGGAGTACCTGTATTTTCATTTATAATACAATAATTATTTTCAAATCTGAATCTCTACATATAAATGAACCAGCCAATATTATGCACACCCATATTTTCCCTTATCTTCTTTTGGTGGAGGAACAATTCTTATTTTTCAGCACTGCAAAAGTAGCATCTCTGTCTGTCTGTCTGATCTACAGAGACTATCAATTCCCAAACACTGCTTTAGGCTGTAAGAACACCCTCAGTCCCACCTGTTGTGCCTCAGTAGATAGTGAAACATAACACTGGGACAAGATAAAAAAAACCTAACCTTGGAAATCATCTTTGTTGATGTCTCCAATGTGGGCCACAGAGAAACCAAAGGAAGAATTGCTGGGGCCAGTCAGGGTGAGGTTGGGGCTGCTGGGGAATGTCCCCCCAAGGTTCATGTAGACATAGACAGACCCACCCTTCTCCTCCTTCTGGTCAAAGTAGTATGGTGCTCCAATGATCAAGTCCTGCCACCTATTAATGGGGAAAGGCAGAGGGGTCATTTTTACTTATTTATCAAAAAAGGCGTTTAATGCTTCTCTCAACTTCTCCCTCCAACGGACTTACCCATCACTGTTGAGGTCAGCCACAGCAATGGAGCTGCCAAAATAAGAGCCCACTTGCCCCCCAGTGAGCATCAGTCTCTTCTGAAGATTCATGCGACCATCAGTTGCCATCACAAAGACGGCTCCAGTGTGATTATAGCGGGGGGCCCCAATAATAAAAGAGAACTCTTCTTTGTGCAGTATACCGGTGCTTGCTTCAACGGTGTATCCTGTTAACATGAAATAACAAAGAGGATATGCCTTTGATCTTCTCCCCCCTTCCAAAAAAGCGAGAGAGAGAGAGATCTCATCACATTTATTGATGTATTATTTATATTTATTGGTTGCCCAACTCCAGTGGACTCTGGGCAGTGCACAAAACTAGAAAAAAAATAAAAGCAGCTAAAAACATAAAATCAGACAGTCAGCCCGACTAAAAACATCTGATAAACAACAAAATCAACAAAACAAAACAGGGGCCTTAAACAAATCATAAACATCTACCCCAGGCCTGGGACCAAAGGCAGGTTTTGAAAGCTTTCCAGAATCCTAGGAAAGAGATGGGTGCCCTTCTTATCTCTGGGAGGGTGCTGTTCCAGAGGGTGGGGGCCACAACAGAGAAGGCACACTTCCCAGGTCCCACATGATGACAGTGTTTAATGTAGGGGACCTGGAGCACACCTACTCTGCTGGAATGTATGCTCCAGAGCAAATAAATGTATGAACATCAATCAATCAATCAATCACCTCACTCGCTGACTATATTTAGATCACCCAGGTGTGTAGATTTAGGAATGAACAAGCTTCTTGGAGGTACTCATAACCCCTTCATTCTACCTATATATGAACTAGCGTGCAAATTAGGCAGTCTTCCATTAATTAGAATTTTCCTTTTGGAATAAGCCATAATAGAAAGCTGGGATTTAAGGATGGCCTGTTAACTTGGGTTATTCCAAAACTAAGCAACGTGAGCCCTTCAAATTGTTTTTAATTATGAAAAAGTGGAATAGAAAAGCTTTAAATACATACATAAATATAATCATGATTTAACTCTTGGTTTGGCTTGTTCTGAAGGTATTAATTATAGTTTTCTTGTTTGGCCAAGAACTATATTCATCTCTGTACATACTAAACCAATTGAGCCTGATCATGGTATTGTCCTGCACATCGATCTCTGATTCTGAAGCAAAGCCTGATGACAACTAGGCCTTTTTATGGGGAAAGCTCTCCACTTTAATCCTTTCTGACCTCTTATTCTCCAGGGCTCAGAGTCCAGTCTCAAATCAGATTTCTTCATTAAGAAATCCCCATTTTGAAGACCTGGTGATCATGATTTAGAAAGGAGGCAATGAAGCTTTCACCCATACAAAACGTGCTTCTTCTCTGGAGTCCTTTCTATTCTTCTTAGGTTTCAGGGGATCAACCTTAAAAGACAAACTGATGTTAAGCCTGCTTGACCCATCATATATTTGAATTATGCTGTTTGTGTTCAGCATGTTGAGTGACATTAGTTGTGAAGATGCTACACATTACAGATTATTTCTATGATTTCTTCTCTTAGTCCGGCATGTTCAGGCAGAGTGGGTGCATTCCACTCCAATTAAATGTTCTCATCTTGTGGGACCAAGGAAGCGTGCCTTCTCTGCCACAGCTGCTGCCCTCTGGAACAGCATCCCCCGAGAGACACACACGGCTCTCAGTCTCACTCTTAAGTCCCTTAAGACCTGGCTGTGTTCTCAGGCCTGGGGTTAGGGTCTTTGTGGAGCCACTGTCAAGTCTTTTTGAATTTTATTGTTGCTATTTTGTCTGGGCAGTTATGTTGTTTCAGTTGTGTTTCTTTAACTTATTATTGGATATATTGTAAGCCACCCAGAGTCTTTTTGGAGTTGAACAGCCTTAACAAATCTAATAAAGAAAATGAAAATAAAATGGGGTGTGTGTGCACTAAATCATGCTTTCAGCCTGACAGCGTGAGAGTTGATTGCAATTACCTATGTAACTGTTGCCGTTCTTCTGATCTGGGTAGGATAAATCCACTTGGTCCCAAATTCCTGGATAGCTCACATAACCTGTGCCTGTGCAAGAAAAGTGGCAATCTGTAGCATTCTGATAAAACACAAACCAAAATCCACTACAGCTTTTGATGCCGTTTGAAGAGATTGTTCTATTCATTTGCAGGCTCTCACCTCTCAGCCACATCCAGCAATTAATTTTCAAAGAAAGTTGCTGGATGGGAAGTACAATTGGAAGCTTCTGTCTCTGCTTCATAGAGAGTCATGATGGGCTCAGGGGGTTCAAATGTTAAAGAAAAAGAGAAGTAGTGTCTTCCTCATTGGTCCCCACACATTCACATACACACGCGCATGTGCGCGCACACACGGACCTCACCTTTACGAAGAAGTGCTCCAAACAGTGGGGAACACTTCCATCTTGTGTTGGACAATTACCGTGTCCATATAGTCACTCTCCATATACACAAGGAGGTGGAAGGGGAAAAGGGTTCTTTCAGTGTATTCACTTTCAGAACACCAGAAAAGGCCTAAACAATTCAGCACTATTTTGAATTCATGCATTTCTTTGAGATAGCGATGATCAAAGGGAAACTCTTCTCTCCCAACTGCTTTTTTCTGGAATACAGGGAGAGTAAGAGATGGGAGGCTCAGGAAGGGAAGGAGGAGGAGGAGAAGGAAGAATTGGAAGATGTATGGAGTAAATAACCATGTCTGGAAAGAACAGTGGAGAAGGCAGGGAATTAAGGAGATTGATTGGAAAAAAAAGAGAAAGGCGCTTCTACAAAGAGAGGAAAGAAAAGCAAAAGGTTTAAGTTGAAGAAAAGATGTATGAAAGAACCAAAGACAAGTGGGAAATGGAAATGGAGGAAACAGATATTTCAGGAGACCTGGGAGAAAAATGAGAAGCAGAAGCAGAAGCAGGAGCCTGATGGAAGGGAAGGAAGTTCAGGGGATGTGAAAGGAAGCAAAATTGAGAAAATGGGAAACGAATTGGATGAAGACGACAAAAAGCTGAGATCATGGAAGAAAGGGGTTGTGCTGAAAGCAAAAGACATAAAGGGGGTGATCATCTGGGCTATGCTCGGACAATATGGCTGACAGAGCCAGAAGCTTCTGTACTCGATTGACTCCCATGTGCTGGCAGCCCACAGCTGCTGAAGTTCAGTCATTTTCTAAGTATATCCCAGCCATGCAAAGGAGACAATCACATCCTGTCTTTTCATTTTTTTTCTTCTGAACAAAAAAAAAAGGGGGGGGGATTCAAAGTGGCAAAATCAGATCATAGCTACTAATGGCCAGAGTGATTTTATCCCAGCCTCCATTTTTTTCTGCCTCTTTTTCATCCCTCTTCCAGCTGGCTGTGGAGGAGGAGAAAGCAAAAAGATGGGACAGATGGCATTTTTAAAGAAGCCCCTGCTTGCAGAACTGGTCTAGCAAATTATCTTGGAAGCAAGAAGCAAAAGTCAACATTTCAGTCAAAGCTTGTTCAGATGACAATTAACTGTGCTTAGTCCCTAACTTTTCTTTTTTTGGTCAAGCAAATATATTTAAAGAATCCTAGTCCATTCATTTACTACAACAACAACACTCTATTGATCAGCCATTAGGCCGTATCAGAATTTACTCCAACTAAATTATGCCATAAAACCATTTGAGACTGACACATATGAAAGAGTTAAAATCAAGAGGGGAGAGGCAATCAGAGCCACAAACCTTGCCAATTGTAAGCTCCCGGAGCTCCAAAATAGATGAAGTTGTCTGTGAAGCCACCACTGATGCCCATCTGGCACATGCCTGTATTGTCCAAGTCTGAGTTGGCAGCACACATCTCATTATTAGTTTGCCATTCATCATCCGGATGACGATGCAAGTCATTACCATGGATATAGCATGTCCCTACCATGCGCCTCTGATGTTCGCTGCCAGCCCATAATATCCTAGTGTATCGGTGAGCACAAGCCTGGAAAAATAAATTAAGCAATATTTTAGTCTGGAGTGAAAGAGACTGTGAAATTCCAGGTTCTGTACAGTACACTCATCCCACCACATCACAAGTTTTTAAATTAAAGTTTGTTGGCTATACCTCAATTATCTGGGTTAGTACTTCATATTAAGTAATCAATGAGGGTTTAAAATCACAATGCTTGGATTAACATGGTATCCTAAACCAAAACTAAACAAACCATATCATGGCTTAGGAAAAGAGCCTTCTGACTTGGAAGTCCTCATCCCTAGGGTAGGTAACTGAATCCTGATCCTCTATAAGATTATTTCAAGTTCTTCCATTGAAATAAATGACACAAAGAGGTTAACCATTGACACTGCAAATAAATGTTAATTTTGTTGAACTCTGTTCAAACTATGATTTGAATGAAGGTCCTAGAAATCCTACACAAATAACTTCAAGCATCAGCTGTAACCACATTGCAAGGGGCTGGGAAGGACCAGGGGAGGGGAGGGAAGAACAACTGGGCAAGTTTCCTGAGAAAGCTCAACTCCCTGCAAAGGAATTCTGCAGTTAGCGTCTCCTGTTACGTGGGAGACAATTTGCCCAAGTGGCACCTGCAGCTTGTTCTCCAAGTCTTGCTTCCCTGCCTAGAGCTGTTTCTTGAATTTCAGCTAATTCCCACTGAAAATGTTTTTGGAACACTTAAAGGTGCTGATGTGGCAGAGGATCAAAATAGCCAAGGGGTGAGGGGAGGCTGTTATTGCCTAGAAGGTAGAAGTGGAGGTGGATTACATGTGGGAGGAAAGGCAGGGACAAGCCAAGAGCCTTGTGCCTGTCTGAAGAATATTTTTAATGATGACACTGTAAGAAGGGACAGAACAGGCAGTCCTCTAAAGGCAAATTTCCCCACTCAGATGACTGGACTTTAGCCCATTATTTCTAAGCTGATTGGACAAGCTTACATTCTGACTCACTGAGCACCACATCTTAGACCCAGCCAGGAGCATTCCTGTTTTCATCTGTGCAACTTTATGCAATATTAACAATCTTGGACTGCTTGGATTATTTTTTGTGTTTTCTTGAAAGGGCCTTATGCTCAGATTGTATAAGACAAGCCCAGGACTCAGATAACTGCCTTAGGCTTAGAACAGGTTTCTTCCCATGACTGGCTCAGGATATTTACCCTAAAAGTTCTCAATTTTGGCTCCTAAATAGTATCAGGCTCTCTTTATCCCCGGAATAAGGTATTCCATGTTATTTGGTTCAAGGTAGCAGACACAGCTGCCAAGAAGCAGAAGCAGATAACAGCAGACAAATTGCAAAACAAAGACTTAGCAAAGAGAAGTACCATTTGTAGTCCAAGAAGCAAAAGAGTAGTCTAGTTACAGTTCTAAAAGTCATGAAGCCAAATCAGGTAGTCAGCCAATCCAGAATTCAGGAAAGACACAAGCTGGGTTTTCAAACAGTTGTTTTCCAACAGAGAGTGAAGG